GGGGGTTGCTTACTATATGTATCGTATACTGGGCCCCAAAACCCTATTCTAATGTTTAAGGCCCCCATATTAGAGTCTTGGATTTAGGTTTCAAGGTTTAGGGTAGGAATCGCAACCCAGCCGAAGGGCAAGTGACAAAGGCCCATGTAGAATTCTGGGATCTCGTAATGCCGTTGGGTGCTGTCGATTTCATGGTGTTTTACTGTGCCTTTATTACTTCAAAAGGTTTAGAAGAGTGTTGTGCCTGGTTCTGTCCGGTTCGGGTTCAATCACAAAGGTTTCTTTGAATGTAAGGTCTTATGTCTTATGAGAAGTTCTTCCGTTGATTTATTTAGGTTTATGGTTTTAGGGATTATACGGTTCAGGGGTTTAGGGTTCAGGGTGTTGGAACGGGGCTTGATATAAGGTGTATTTGGGGATCGGTTTCGTTTGAAAGGAGCGTGCTCCAGCTCTGCGCAATCTTCGGCAAGCAGCTGACTGTAGCTCGGGTCCCAGTCACTTCGTGGGTCGTGTTTTGGAGTTGAACTTAAGTTATCATATGTGGGGATCATGGTAGTGTAGAAGCCTAGATGATGACACCAATGTCATTCCGGGGTTCCTTGTTACAACTGTACTATAATAATGTACCCCAAAACCTGATTCTAATTACTCCGACCTTTTTTTAATGATATGGTGTCCTTGTTATGGTAGCTTCGATGAAGCTCCTTAACAAGAACCCAGCCACCTTGTGGTGTTGGGTTTGGGGCTTAGGGGAATCTACGCTCAACGGGGAGGCCTGCTACGGTTGATGATAGAAATCCATCATTACCCGTAATAAGAAGTAAACCAGAGTTCCAATAGACTAGGGTCCTGAAGGTAATGCAGGATTTCTATCAGCCACAGCAAAAAACCCTTGGCTCCCGTCCTACTACTTAACGCGGGAGGGAAATGTGAGATCAGCCTCCGCGCAATGAACCGGAAGCAATCCCTACACCCTGAACCGCAAAACCCGAAACCCCGCACCCGAAACGCCTGTAGTGGGTTTCAGTTCCTACCCCCGATACTCCTGAGCTTCAACAGCGTTTACGCGGAAGGTTGTCGGAGAAAATCTGCCCTGGTTTGAGGGTGTGGAACTCTGGGTTTTCAGGCTTTGAGGATGCTGGGGCTTCAGAGGTTTCGTGCCCTCAGTAGTTAAGCAATATCCGATAAAGCTCTTTCAATGCTGCGATCGCTTGATTTGAAGTAAAGTATTTGATCAGGGGTATTGGGGTCCTTGCATACACCCTGCATCAATTGCGCAGGCCATCCTGTTAGCAAGGATTCGGCTTGACGATCGGGTTTAGGATTCAGTGCCAGTTTGGATTTTGAGTTTTTGGAGCACGGCACAAACCAAGCTACAAAACCCTCAGCTTGTAATCCGCATATCCTGAACCGCCTTGTCTGCTCAGGACTATCTCATCAATATCGTTTTGCAGCTGATCAGGCCTGCTTAAATGCACCGCGCTGTGAGCTTTGCTTGTTAGGATGTTGCCTTCTGCCCTGCTTCAACTTGAGGGGTTCGTTAGGGCCCCAAACAGCATCACCACTTGCATGTCTATGATCGCATGTCTCGAACCAAAGTTTAGCGGCGGATGGTGGTGTCGAGGATGATGATGCCGCTTGTGGGTCTTCATTTATTCAGCTGATAATACTTATAGAGCATAGATACATGAAGCTCTCAGTACTCCGATTGGAGTACCCTTCATTTGCCACAGCACATTCTTGCAACCCTTTTAAACAGCTTCCAGAAGACTCGTCGTACAAACCCCAAGCCATAAATCCTAAAACCGTAACCCTAAACCCCAAAAAGCCCAAACCATAGAGCCCTGCCATGCCCTGCCCCAAAAGCCCTAAACCCTGGAGGGACGAAACGCCGGAAGTTCGGCTGCAGCTGATTAGCACTCTGGAGCATCTCTCCTCCACTGTGCCCCGGCCGGGTCCGGGATTTGGGGTTTAGTGTTAAGACGGGTCCGGGACTTGGGGTTTAGTGTTCGGAGGGTGGGTTCGGTTAAGAGGGTCCGGGATTTCGTGGACATGAGTAGAAGGGTTCGGCATTTGGGGTTGAGGGCTTGTTGTGTTTAAGGTTTAGGGTCAATTTTGGGGTTTAGGGGGAAGGCATCAGGAATCAAACGAGGCTTAGTGTTGAGTCCCTATGCAGACTCTTCAGAACCCATACAGCAACCCTGCCTCATCTTGATCTGCATATCCGTTATCATCACCACACTTTTTGGGATCGGTTTCACAGCCCAGGGTTCGGATTCAGGATGACATGGCTCGGCCGAACCCTGAACCCTAAACCCTGAAGCGTAAGCCCTAAACTGTGAGGGCACAGGCTGCGTGAATTCACCGGGGATCAATCTTCTTTTCGGGGCAGTCATCTTGCAATGTAACCCTACCCCTCCAAGGACCTCATAGTTAGGGCCCCAGACCCCTTAAGGACCCCATAATAAGGTCCGTGGAGGCATAGGGTAAAGCAGTACTTTAGTGAGTGTGCGGCCCGAAGTGATTATATCTTCAGAGCCAGAAACGTGAAGATCCGATTCCCAAGCTCGCAGCAAGGTTGGAGTGGACGTTCTCGCCCAGTCCCTTCTGCCCTCCATCAAGGACTCCTTGAGGGAGTTTCGGAAGATGGGCTAGGTAGGCATATTTCAAAGGGCAATTACTTTCATCTCGGAGCAGCAAGATGCACCAGCCCTAAACCCTAAACTTCTGACCAACTTGATACGCCGCCCTTGAATATCACCACGCTGACGGCTAACTATTGAATCAAGAGACTATAACGACCCGACTATTGGTGGTACAGTTCCGTGGGGCTCCGAATTATAACTCTATTAAGTGAATATTCTGCCCCAAAACCTCACTCTAAGAGCAAGTCAGACCTCGAATACCACGTATTATTATGCACCCAAGTCCCTATGCTGAATACTAACACCTCTAGTCTAGTCCCGAAACTCGTGTAGAACCCTGTAGATCCCATAAAGGAGCCCTACAGCTTAAACTTGCGACCCTAAACCTGAAACCAACAACAACCTCGAAATCCTGAACCCTAAACCCTAAACACCTAAAGCCCTAAACTCTAAACCCCTAAAGCCCCAAATCCTAAACCCTAAAACCCTAAACCCTACCTTAACCCTGAAGGACCTACCCTTTTTAGGACTTATATAAGGAAATCATAATAAGGAACCCTAAAAAGTAGGTTGTTCAGGGTTAAGGTATACCTTCAACCGGGGTTGGCCTCGGAGGAGCTTGGCAAAGACCGACAGTGGCGAGTCCGGCTTTCCATCATTAAAGTTATGTGGTTTCCTCAGGAGCCGAGGGTGTGTTCTACAAGGGCTACTTTTGGGTTTCTATAAGGGCTACGAGAGGGTTCTACTATCGGGTCTCTATAAGGCCTATTCGGTTTTCTATAAGGGCTACTATAGGGTTTAGGGTTTAGTGGTTTCCTCATGAGGCTGGGTGTCTATCACGTGAATCACGGCTAATTATTCGAGGGTTACTATAAGGGGTACCAGGATCTACTATAAGGGCTATAATTTAGATTATTTGGGTTTCTATAAGGGCTTGGGGCTATGAGTTAGAGGGCATTCTATAAGGGCTGATACATGGGGTACTATAAGAGGTACAAAAGGGGCTTGTGTTTGAAGCCGTTAGGGATGAGAGTTTGGCTTGTTTAGGGTTTAGCGTTTTGGGACTGGGGGTTTAGTTTGGGTTTAGGACAGAGTAGGTTTCCCAGTGGGCATTCCCCCAGTACCAAAAATCCTGGGATCAGGGTTGGCACATGTTCCGTTACAGTATATGCATTGGCCTCAAAGTAGCAGTCCTTATATTATTATAAGTACTTCAGGGCAAATGTGTCTACAATATTGGTACAACGAACCTTCAAGGTTAAGAACACTAAACCTTGAACCCTAGTAGCGATTCAAAACTCGCGTTCGCAAAAAAATTCCACCCCCAGGCCAACTTCGAAGTCATTGTGGCTCGATCATACGCCAGCGGCAGCCTGCAAATGAGATGTGAACTTTTGCGTGAAAAGCGTATCAGAACTATTGATGCTGTTGCTAGTCGTACTGTTGTTGCTATACAGTTTTCAGAAGTCATTACAGAAATTATGAGCTCCTGGTTAAAAGAATGAGGCCCTGACTGCCAGCACAAATTAGGGGACTTATTATGACTTATATTGCCCTACTCAGAACTACCAATAAGACAAGGACTCCCTAAATCCTAAATCCCCCCCTAAACCCAAAATCTCGCGAGCTTGAAACACAGACGACAAAACGTTGCTGAGGCCCGACTTGGCAAAGTACCTCGGCGAGGCTCAAAGCCTGCATGAGCTCTATAAGCCCTAAACCCTATACATTCAACCCCATCTCGTAAAACCCTAACTAAACCCTAAACCCTAAACCCTAAACCCTAAACCCTAAACCCTAAACCCTAAACCCAAACCCAAAACCGTTCCGGAACACTTTGTCGGACTATCGGATGAAGGGTTACCTTCACCCGGAATAGCCTACCTTTCGAGGACTTATATATTACAAGCGAATCATAGTCAGGAAAAGGGTAGGTCATTCCGGGTAAAGGTGCGCTTTAGAGAATGAGCGATATGGGTGGTTGTTTAATATTTAGGGGACCCAAAAAGGGACCAAAACTTCGACAACCACCCATATATGTAGCACGACGTAGAGGCTGCCTCCCTAAGGGAGCCCTGAGAAAGCAGCCAAACGGCTTAGGGCTTCGGGTTCAGCGTTTGGGTTCAGGGGTATTAAGGGGTTTAGGCTTAAGCCCCTATAGGGTCTAGGGTTTAGCACATCCTGCTGCTCCGCAGATGTGGCTTATGGCTTAGGGTAGGAGACTGGAAGCTGCTTGGCTGAGCTTCGAGATTGTGCACAGCCGAATCTGCTTCGAGTTGAGAGGAGCGGCTGTTGCCAGGATTTAGGCTCTGATCTGGTGTCGCTTTTCCTTCACGTTGGAGGCCTCATGGGCTCATGGCTCTGTGTCGGCGTCGCGTGCTGTCACAGCTTCCGTGGACGACTGCCGTTGTGTCTGCAGCATTTGCCATCGGGCTGCTTGCTGTGCATGTGACCTATGGCTGCGTCGCCCTGGCTGTGTGGGGATACTTCTTCGGCTATTCTGTTCTGAGAAGCCAGTCGTCTCCATATCCCCTCCGAATACGTGTATCCTTGGCAACTGCCTTGCTGGTTTGTACCTCCGTGGTCACAACAGCCGCCTGGCTCTTCCTGGGCGGGTTGGACGGCTGTCGTGCTTTCGATCCGGAGATGAAGACCTCATTCGGCTACAAGTTTCTTGGTAGCGGAGTAGGCAATCTTTAACTATTAACCTGTTCGGGTTTATATGTTCCTACCATACTTGAGTTTTGTGTTTTTTGGGCTGGGGTACACAGCCCCTAAGGTTTGATCAGTTCTGGACACTTCTGTGCTTCCGTCACGCAGTGAACTGGTTCCTGACGCTGATTGGAATATGCCTAGTACTGGCCGATCACCCGCAGTCAACCTACATCCGTGACTGCATCAGGTGTCTGCTATATTTGTACACTAGTCAGATTGTGTCCACCCTGGGCAACACGTGGATTGCCTGTGCCGGCGCGGACGAGAACAACGATGGTGTGAGGGATTCCTTCCTGGAGGGTTCTGTGAACATGCAGGAGTCCCTTATAGCAGGACTCTAGGCTTTGGAGTACTATACCTTAATATTTTTCGGGGACCTCTTACTGCAACTTAAAAATTTGATTAAGATGGAACCAGTATGACATTACAACTTAAAATGGAACCATTATGACATTAAAGTCTATACTTTCTTCGCCCTGGTTACTTCAAAGCCCAGGACTACAAGTCTCCGGCAGGTTGTTGCTCGTTCTTTCAGGCAACTGGTTTCTTCAGATCGTCGTGAAGATGATGAGGGCTCTTGAGGCGGCGTTCGAAGAGCCTTTGCCATGTTTCCGTACCATCGTCTACCTGAAGTACTTCGTCGTTGCCTTAACGATTGTGTTACCAGCTGCCTTTCGCCTGCAGCTTCTCTTCTTGCTGGGTTGCTTCACGTCAGCTCTGGCCCTCGCGGTCTTGACTCTTCTGGAATTCTTGGCACTTCGCGCTCCTCTCCGGGCGCTGCAGCGCTCCCTCTACAGTCGGACCGCGTTCAGCGGGGCTCCCTCGGAGAAGATGCAGTTTGCGGCGAGCACCCTGCGGCGCTTTCAAGTCGCCGTCCTGCTCAGCAACTAGGTCTCCCAGTGGACCCCATTTCTCTTTCTTTGAAGTCTCAGGTTCCTTATAAATGTTCCCAATGCCAAAAAGGGAGCCCTTTTCCCGCGCTACTGGGCATCCCAGGCAACTCAACCATCGCCTTCTACGTGTTGATCACCGCCTTGACGAATGGCTTCGTCCGGGAGTACATCGCCCTCACAGCCGTTGACTACAGCTCCTCAGCCGCTTTTTCTTAGTAGCTGAATGGATGCACTTTACACTTTTTGGGATAAAATTACCGCTATTACTAAAAGTGTACACTTTTTGGAGCTTGTGAACTCAGCAACTACAGTTTTACTCCTTCTACAGCGGTTTTGAGGGATGTTGTGCCTCATAAACTCCGCAACTTAGGCTCCTCGAACCCTAAGCCCTGATCCCTGAACCCTAAACCCTGATCCCTGAACCCTAAATCCTAAACCCTGAACCCTAAACCCTAAGCCGCAAGCCGTCGACGAAGGCGCCCTGCTGAATGCAGTTGGACTGGCTATCGGCCTTGCGATTCTCACCGGCTCGCTGAATGTCCCGAAACTTGGCTTCTCCAGTACCCTACTACAGTAGAAGCTTAAAAGTTGGAAACCCAATAGCCTCGATCCTTAAGAGTAATGTATAGGCAATCCCAGCACTATTTGGCCTTAATGCGGTTCCCAACTTTAGGTGTTCACTAAGTAGAAGCCTAAATAATGACTTATATTGGAGGCTCGGGGGACTTAGTAAGGTAGGCGATAAGTGCTTTACTTGGGGTTCTCAGTGGATAGAAGTGTAGTTACCTGAAATACAACCCTAGTTACTAATTCCCATGATCCTTGAAGTACAAGCCGGAAACCCCACCGTTGATGCCCTGTGATTCGATGAAGCCCTCTGCGGCACAGGAGTGCGCCGGTAGAGCAGCATTGCTGCGTTGCGGTGAACCCAAATTGTTAAACTACATTTGTAGGTGTTTATAGCTTGCTAGTGATCTGAAAGTCTGACCAGTTTATTTCTCTGGCTGACCATCCTAAACCCTAGAAGCTATTCTATAGGGGCCCACATAATTACCTATGCAATTTTGGGGCGTCCTCATTATCATTATGGTACAATGGGCCCCGAAACCCTGTTCCAATTATTCAGGCCCTTAATTTAGACCTTAATGTAGGAACCTGATTAAGAAACCCTGGGCCTATAACCCAAAAATAGTTGGATTCAGAAACGTTATGTAGCACTTGGCTTGATGAACGCCGGCAAGAGCTCCAGGACTATGGGTGAGCCTCCATAATAACGAGACCAACCGAAAGGAACCCTAATACAGGCCCAAGGTTTCTGAATCAGTTTCCTATATGGGTAGTTGTCAAAATAATGGTCCCTTTTTGAAATTTTGGGTACCCTAACTATTAGGTGCCGTATTATATTAAGGACCCAAAACTGGACCCTAATTTTGACAACCACCAGTATTTAACCCTCAACCGCAAGTTGTGGAAAGCATATAAGGACCCCTAAATGAGGTCCCCTAATTTTCGCAAACGCTCATATTAGACCCTCAACCTTCAACCCCAAATTCGGAAAGCAAGGAAGCCCTCGAAGAGAAAGGCCCCAGAGCTCCCGGGGAAGGAGGGGCCCACCAGTCTCTTGCACAGCAGCAGCTTCTTGGTTGCTTTACATGTAAGCCCAAAGGGTTTTAGGTACCGTTATGGGGAATACTTCCCCAAATCATAATCGTAATTCCTAATATTCTTGGTTGCCGTATATAAGGGTTCAGGGGTGCAGGGTTTAGGGGTTGAGAGTTCAGGGGTTTTACAAGTTTGGGGTTGGGGTGTTTAGAGGTTAAGGATTTTGGGCGTTTAGGGTCTAGGGTTCTTCAAAGGGGTACTATCAGTGTTCGATCAGGCGATAAGGGTCGGGTTCCTTAATAACTTAGATGGCACGTGAGAGATCTTTAAGCATTTTGGTGTTACATATGGGTGGTTGTAAAAAGTATGGTCCGTTTTTGGTAACCCTAAATATCAGGTGCCTTACTATAATTATGACCTAGAAAGGGACCCTAATTTTGACAACCACCCATATGTATGTTGATTATCTTAGCACTGTAGAAAGCTTCAGCTTATCTTGGGCCCAGTTACTGAAAATAACGCTGATAGCGCCCCTTTTGAAAACCCTTAAACCCTAAACCCCCCGACCCCTAAACCCTGAACCTCTAAAGCCCCAAACAACCCTAAACCCCTAAAAGCCTGAACCTCTAAGCCCTAGAGAGGCTTTGTCGAGCAACAGTTGCAGTGTACCTGCGGCCGCTTCAAGAAGAAACGGTGGTCTCTCCAGGATGAAGATGGAGAGCCAGCTACACGGTTTGCATTTAGACATTTGTCGGGCAGTCATACGGTTGATGATACAAACCTGCATTACCCATATACTAGTTAGGAGTACACCATTCTTCCCATAGTTTAGGGTTTGTAAGGTAATGCAGGGTTTATACCATCAATCAACAGTAGTGTTTACAAGAGAAACAGAAGCAGGTACACCTATTATCGGTGCTCACTTAGTAGTTGCTTGTCGCAACCGGGCAAGGTGGGACATCAAATGGGGAAGACACTGTCGCAAGTTTCTGCAATGTCGAGCATTCGGCACTGGAGTTCGATCCGGAGCGAATCTCGCAAGAAGGCCTGTCAGCGATGTGCCTGGGATGAGCACGTCAAGGAGATAGCTGGTCGGCGCATGTCGGTGGATCAGCTTCTCGACTTCTATGCCAAGCTTGCTCCCAAAAGAGCGACGAGTAGGTCGCACATGGCACATTTCGACCCATCACGGTCCACTACGACGGATGTCGTCCGCCACGTCGTGATCCCGGAGTCGCGCTGCGGTGACACAGGCAAAGCTTTGGCGGAAGTCGTGCAAAGCTCATCCCGGACTTGCTGCCTTCCCAGCTCATCCTCCACAGTGCGCATGGTGACGCATCACTGGGCGAACAGGTTTAGGGATCTCGTCGCAGCGGTCGTTGCGGACAGTTTAGGCCTCAAGCGCTGGGACAGCATCGCAGATGACTTGTCCTCTGGCAAAGAGGAGGCCTTGAGGTCGAGGCTTCATGGCCAAGGGTCACTGCACTGGGAGTACTGGATCCTTAGAGGTACTTAGAAATATTTTTCATTTTTGGTTTTTATAATCCCTAAGAAACAGCTAAAATTGTAATTTTTGCTAGGGTTCTAAGTTCAGTATAGGATCTGCGCATTCTGCATCAACCAGCATGCCAGCATTTGTGATGTTGCCATGGGCGCCCTGGACACCGTTACGGGCGAGCCCTTGCCAACTTGTAACTGCGCGACGCCGAAGTACTTGAACGATTCTCCAGTTCAGTGCGAGCTGAACAAGTTTGACAGCATGATGGCCTACCTTCACCATCGTTATCACCAGCGCTTCCTGCAAGTTGTTGCGACTGACAAAAGCTTTAACCTCTTCTCGCGTGCATGGTGCATAGCCGAGCTGGTCCAGGCGCACGCCAGCCGGATGGAACAGCATGTGGTCCTCCATTCCCACAAGGTCCTGGAAGCTTGGCCGCTCCTGAACATGATTTTCTACTGCTTGGGTGTTACCCTAAGGGTCCAAGTACCTAATTATCATATATACTCTCCAAAATCCTAACCTACATAACGACTATCCTAAAACCGAGTACCTAATTATTGGGTCCTTTGGACCCATGGGGTTATTGGTCTCACGAGAGAGCTGCAGGAGCCAAAGCCTTGAATCGCAAAACCCTAAAATCCTAAAGCCGAAGCCCAGGAAGAGAACTCGGCACAACTGGAATCGCTGCGAGTCGCTTTGCAGTAGAGCAAGTAGCCTTTGAAACGTTTCTCGAAGTTCAACCTTGTTGGTGTACTTTTACACTGAACCCTAAACCCTTCACCCCAACATCATCCCTTAACCCGAAACTCGAAACCAGAAACCCCACACTCTAACCCGAAACCTGCTTAAACCCTGAAACCCGGAACCCCTAACTCTCAGCCCTAAGTCCTAACCCGAAACCCGAAACCCCAAAACTCGAAGCCCTAAACCCTAACTTCCCGCAGTCTCAGGTAGAAGATTGTTCGGCTTCCCGGCCCGAAGACAAGGAAGGGATCCTAAAGAAGCCTCTCTGCTCCGATTCAGTACTCCTTTGGCCTATTTCTTAACCAGGGCTTCGGCTCTAGGGCTGTAGGGTTTAGTCTTTTAACCGGGTTTAGGGCTTGGGGTTAAGAAATACGGCTTCGCTCCGATTCAGTGCACTTTTGGCCCTTTTGTCGGAAGGGTTTAAGGCTTAGGGCTTAAGCAATACTCTTTTGGTCTTATTTGTTCCTAAGCGGAAGGGTTTTGGGGTTAAGGCCTCGGGCTTAAGCAGCAGTCTTTGCGCCGATTTTGTCTAACAGGATGGGTTTGGGGTTTAGGGTCAAGAAATAGGGCTTAGGGTGTAATTAGGTGCTACATGATCTTGCCGGGTTCGGGAAAGACAAGGGGGTCTTGTTTGTGGAACCGAGGATTGGCTCAGCATCAGAAACTCGGTGGCATTTTGGGACAGCACTCTCAGCTTCTCTTGGGAGCGTTTAGGGGAAATATAGGACCCCACAAATCTGCAACTAAGTCATACACCTTGGGGTCCAATAAACCCCAAACCCTCCATAGCCCTAGGCCCTTAACCCTCCAAATCCCCAAGCCCTAGACCCTCCAAAGCCCTAAACCCTCCAAAGCCCTAAACCCCAGACCCTAAACCCTAAACCGTTCAAAGCCCAAAACCCTAAACTCCAGACCCTAAACCCTAAACCCTCCAAAGCCCTAAACCCTAAACTCTCCAAGACCCTAAACCCTCCAAAGCCCTAAACCCTAAACTCTCCAAGACCATAAACCCGAATAATCCCTCCCAAAGCCCTAAACCCTAAACCCCAGACCCTAAACCCTAAACCCTCCAAAGCCCTAAACCCTAAACTCCAGACCCTAAACCCTCCAAAGCCCTAAACCCTAAACTCCAGACCCTAAACCCTAAACCCTCCAAAGCCCTAAACCCTAAACCCTCCAAGACCCTAAACCCGAATAATCCCTCCCAAAGCCCTAAACCCTAAACCCCAGACCCTAAACCCTAAACCCTGCAAAGCCCTAAACCCTAAACTCCAGACCCTAAACCCTAAACCCTCCAAAGCCCTAAACCCTAAACTCTCCAAGACCCTAAACCCTCCAAAGCCCTAAACCCTAAACTCTCCAAGACCCTAAACCCTCCAAAGCCCTAAACCCTAAACCCTCCAAGACCCTAAACCCGAATAATCCCTCCCAAAGCCCTAAACCCTAAACCCCAGACCCTAAACCCTAAACCCTCCAAAGCCCTAAACCCTAAACTCCAGACCCTAGACCCGAATAATCCCTCCGAAAGCCCTAAAGGCCCTAAGCCCTGCAGAGCCACCCAGGAGATAGAGGAGTTCAACCGCAGGCTTCAGCAGCTCTTACTGGGATCGGAAGGGCTCTTTGCTGGCTGGAAAGATGCTCCTTTACTGATCTTAGGAATTGTGTCATATATTTTGCTTATAATATAATAACTGCTCTTAGGAATTTTGTTTGGTTGTCTTACAATATGCTAGCATAGCTCCAGGGGATTACAATGTTTGTTCTGGTTCTGCAAAGCCTAAACCCTGAACCTTAAAGCCTTTTCAGAGAGCGGATGCTACCTCTGGAGAAAAGGAGTTCAAAAAAAAAAGAACCCTAAACCCAAGGGAAACCTTAAACCCTAAGCCGTGCTAAGGCTCAGGCGCTCCTCTTGGATGTAGGTGCCATTGCAGCAAGAGCCAAGACCTCCTTCAACGCCAGTCAGTCTGCAATCTTCGAAGAAGATCTTGTGGAAATCTGAAGTTTCAGATGAGAGTCTAAATCCTAAGCCCTGAAGACGGGGCAGGGAGTCCCCATGCGGGACGTTTTCCACCGAATTACTTCGAGCGGTCTCTTCCTAAGCCCATCTGCAAAGGTAGATGGCTTCTTATGGCTGCCGGTGTCTGCCGAGTCCTACCAGCCAGGGCCCGCAAGCATCATCACCAGCCTCCAGCACGCCGAAAACCCAGCCAGCAGCTGCCATTGCAAAAGAACACTTGGGCTTGAATGGCTACTGATATCATTACTCCTCAGGACCGTTCCTACGCCGTAATTAAAGCTCCAGAACCCAGAGTATCAAGAGTGGCTTTGCTCAAAGTAACCGACCCCTTACAGGAGCCCTTGGATTTCTCATATAAGGAGATCTTCAAGGAACCTCTAGGGGAAGCTCCACAGGAGCCTGCAGCCCTGAAAGGATCCTTCAAGGAAGTACAGACACACTCAGATTGTATGGGGCATACTGATAGTCTAACTACAGCACGGTACCCTAAGGAATAAGGTTCCCCACTATTCCGACCCTAAACACTAAACCCCTAAACCCTATTCATACTAGACGTAGTCTAACTGTAGAAAGGAACCCCAAGGAATAAGATCCCCCAAAATCCAGACCCTAAACTCCTAAACCCTGAACCCCTAAACCCTAAACCCTTATAGATCCCTTAAAGGAACCCAAAATTCCGACCTCCATTTTCCTCCCTCAGCTCGGGTCTCGGAAGCTGCGCTTGAGAGTCGGGGTTCGAGTCAAGGGCTCTTGAGGAGCAGTGGATTTAGCTGTTTTTCTGTTTAGGATTCAGGGATGAGTGGCTTGCTGGTGGTCTTTCAGGCATTTTAAGCTTCTGGGGCTTGGGGTTTGGGGTCATTTGAGCTTGAGCAGTCGGGTCTTTTAATATAATTTGAGGGCGGTTTGCGGGCCCATGTGGCGTCCATGAGAGCATCTTGATGCTGTGGCCCCTGAACCCTGAAACTCAAACCTCAACCCCCCACCACTGCCAAAACCAGCTTGAGAACCTGAACTCAAGGCGAACTCAATGCCACCCGAGCATGATGCCTTCAATCACTAAATCCAGCCCACTAGCAAACAACATCATCTGAACACCCAAAAGTCCTGAAGCCGGATTCCCACGACGAAGCTGCCCTAACCCCTACATGCCTTAAACCCCCAACCCTAAACCCTAACCCCTATAGGCCCTTGAAGCCTTATAACCCCCCCGGAAAGCCCAAAAGCTGCCAGGCAAAGTTTACCTCGGAGCTGAGCGTGCTTTTCCCTTCTTGGCTGATGGACCCTGTCTTCTCCGTCAGGCACTGGCCGGCTCTTCTAAATCGGGAGTTCCGATATATAATTGGGGGGGGGGGTACCTTATTTTGGAGTCCTTATAATAAGGATCCTACTATTTAAGGTACTATACTAGCGCCCCCTATTCTCGGAAACTCCCAGATCGGGTTGTAGGGTTTTGGGGACCAGGGTTTTGGGGGCTTCATAACTTCGGAGTTTTAGGGTTTAGGGGCTCCAGAGCTTTAGGGCTTTAGGGCTTCGGGTTTAGAAGTTGCCTGCACCCCAGATAAGATACCATGTGTTTGGGCTCCTGATTTGGATTTCTCCTTCTATCAGTGCTGAGGGGGTTCAGGTTCTACGAGGTTGCCCGTAGGCTTTCGGATTTTGAGTGCGAGAGTTGCGGTTTTCCTTGTTCCGGTTCAGGGGCTTCCGGCGAAAGTGCTAGATGCTGGCGTTTTGAAGGGGACGTTAGCATGGGAGGCTTTCGGTTCAGGGTCGAGGGTTTCCTAACCCTAAACCCCTAAACCTCATACCTAACCCTGAATAATCTAAACTTTGGGTTTCCTTCTTATGATTTCCTGATATAAGTTCTCAAGAAGGTAGGTTATTCCGGGTTAAGGTAAGCCTTAATCCCTCTAAGCCCTGAAAGTTGCCAGGGAACAGGCAAGTTTCTCGTTCTAGGGGCTTTACAGGAAGGTCCACCGCTTAGGATTTGGGCCGGGGGGGGGGGGGGCATCCTCAAGCCTGCTAAGCCTACTTAAAGGATCATGGGACTTAGTAACTAGGGTTATAATTAGGGTAACTATATACTTATAACCCTAATTAGGGTACTCATAGCCTTACTTACTAAGTCCCATGATCCTCCAAGTAGACCTTCCAGTATCACTTCGTGAAGGAACATACCGTACGTCGAATCAGGATGCCTAGTATAATTTGAGGTATGTCCCGTATTTATGGGATTTTGGCAGGTCTGGGAACTTACTACACCGGAAACACTCAACTCTGAGAGAGTTCTCAACCGGAAACCAAAGATGAGTTTGTTGGGTGTGTGCGTGTAGAGGTTTAGTAATATAGGGTTGGCAAATCAGTTTGTCAGGTCTTGTGCATGGTGAGACATCCTTAGCTTTCAGCATCAGGGCCAATAACGCGGGTTTGTTTGTCTCCCGCTTTTCGACTCCTGCCTGACTTTGTGTTGACCATTTCTGAGTAGGCGGTATATCCGCGGTTGGGCTTGATGGGTCAATCCGCTTGCAGAGACAGAGAATCAGCAAAGAAGCAGCAAGATACGTGTGCGGGCCCCTTCTGGTATCTCCTAAGCCCTAAGCCCTTAAGCTCTAAACCCTGAACCCTGAACCCCCAAACCCCGAAACCCTCAAAACCGAAAGCCAATGTCTGTGAAAGGAGCTAAAAATCTCAAGTAGAGGGATGATCTTTCTTGGATACGTCTCCATGCTGGCCGTGTTCGGCTCTCATCGATCGCATGCCATGAGGAAGCACGGAGCACATCTCAGCATAAGGAGTCTGAATAGCAGCATTGAACAGCTGAATCTGCTGTAGAGCGGCAGCTAGCAGCTAGCACAACAACGAGCCCTATATCTGACCCCGACAGCACTTATTAGGCAGCTTCGGCCAAATAGCCCTTCTGCCAGAAACACACTGGCCTGATCTTTCAAAGTAGTGCAACCATTCAGACGCCTCTCATTCGGAAACAGTCTGTCCTAAGAGTAGCTGCGAGCTTGTCGCCAACATGAGCCGTGTCGTTGCATCTTGGCCACCACAATTCCCATTATAGCCCCTAGCTAAGGTCTAATTATTATAGACCCCCAAACCCTACTGCATTCTAATGGTTAAGGCCCCTATATATCGCACTAGTGCAAGTGCCTGGGCTAACTCGGAGCCCGACTGCCTGAGATGCGGGGTTGGTGGAAATAGAACAAACACCCACTCGGTGGGTGTTTGTTCTAGGGTTGAAGCCCAAAACCCTGAACCCTAAACCCCTAAACCCAAGACCCTTAAACCCAAAACCCCTAAACCCCTAAGCCCTAAACCCCTAAACACTAGACCCTAAACCCTAGATCCGTCTCTTGGGGCCTATTGAGGTATAGAAGGTCTCTTATAGTTCACGTTCCTTCGCAGAGCTTTGAGGTTGAGCAAGATTGAGGCTTCGGGCTTTGTTTTCTTGCTGTGGGTCTGTGCACACAGCTGACAAGGCCATCATACATATTATATATCGATATATGTACATGAATCAGAATATAGATACACAATCCACACATGTATATACACACATCGAACAAACAAATACATAAACATATAAATTACTATATACATAAATATAGTGTATGTGAAGATGGTGAATATGAATATACATATACGAATACACATATATATATATATGTATATGTGTGTACGCATACACACATACACACATACACCTGCAGACATACACGCCTAATTGCTTGCCATCTCTTAGTCTGTTTCTGGGAACTCGAAGCGGCCGAGAGCATCTAGAGCCCGTTTCCGACAGGATCTCAGGATTTAGGGTTTTCGGTTCGAGGTTTAGGGTCTGGGATCGTGTTTCCCTCTTTTCTGCCAAAAAAAGGAAGGGGGAGTGGTTATCAACCCAGGCCTGCAAAACGCTGGCAAAAGCATCCCGAATACTTCCTCTGCTTATCAGAGAAACGGTGCGTTCCGAGCGTCTTTGAGCTAAGGTGACGAGAGGTGCGCCGGACCGAAGGGTTATTGCTTGCTGAGGGTACTTGGAGGATCATGGGACTTAGTAAGTAAGGTTATAAGTACCCTAACTGGGCTTATAAGTATAGTTACCTAATTATACCCCTACTTACTAAGTCCCATGACCCTTTAAGTAAGGTTTTGAGCTGTCAGTTTGAGACAAAGACACTTCCTGTGAAGCAAGCACATGCGAATGCACAGAAGCGACAGCGGGAGAAAGTTCGGCTTTTACAGCTTTGGAGTATGATGTCATTGTTCGGGGAGCAGGAGTGGCACTGAGAAGCTGGTCAGCAACAGTGACAAGGGTGTCACTGCAAAATCAACTCCGCAATCACTCTCATTGCAACTTTATATTGTGGCTCTTATGGTCATCACTGTCATCATCTTCTGATTACCCATCACTGTTCTTCATCCTCACCCACCTCATCACCATCGTCAAGCTAGCTCAACATGAAACTGACAACGGCGGCGGCGACACTACAACCGCTACGACAGCAGCCGAGGCGGCTACCGCCACCACGACCAACACCACAACGACAGGGCACCGTATGAGCTGTCCAAGCAGGTGTGAGGCCACAACAAAGCCAACAATGCCATCCATTTCGGCCTGATCTCTGTCTTCAGCTATCCCGCTCCAGAGCTTGAATTGTTCATGCCCCTGGCTGTAATGTAGAGCCTTTAATAATTAGACGGGGGCTTTGGGGGCCCTTATACTATAATTATAACAAGGAGCCTCCAAAATAGTATTGGTCATTATTTAGGCCCCTAACCCTAACCCCTATAGATCCCCTAAAGGAACACAAACCCTTATAGTACCCTTCAAAGGAACCCCATTCTCATTATAGGCCCCTTAAGTAGCTGCTCATGTTGCATGTTTGGAGGTTCAGGGCCTCCCGTCCCTTTGGCACCAACCCTCGCCGCGCTTCCGGCGCAGGCACTGCGGATTTTAAAGATTTCCGAAAGGGGTTCGGGGTTTA